CAGATTGGCGGAATGACTGAGCACACTCCTGCAGCCCCTGGAACTCAGGCAGTGGCCTGACACTGCCGCTGCTCTGGACTCAGGTTGCAACACCTCACTCAGGCCAGGAAGGATAAAGTGGTTTTAGCTCATGCACCAGAGCCCACCAACTGACAGTGGCCCCCTGTGATGCAGCCTCTTAGAGGGGTGAGATGAATGGGGATATCCGGGGTGTGGCGGGGAGGTGGGCGGCAAAATACCCGCCAGGTACTTCTACCCTGCCTGAGCCCCCTGACCTGCGTTACCCCAACTCACCCTCCGCTGTGCCCCCCCATGCCTAAGTGCCTCATCCTGCCAGCCTGATGACAAGGGCCATCTCTGTTCTCTGGACCGTCTAGACCTTCTTCCATCTGGACCCTGATCTTAATCCCAAACAGCAGCCACAGTCTGTTCTACCCGACCCCTGCATCCAGCTTCTTCAGTCCTTGCTAGTCCTGCTGTTTCTTTTTTTTTTCTTTTTATCTTTTTCTTGTCCTGCTATTTCTGATCCAGATTTTTCAGAGATTCCACAGCCCTCATTTTCAACCTAGGTCTCTGGCCCCACCCATCTGTCACCCCCAACCCAGGGAAATGTGCCATTTGCCCCCAACAGCCGTCTTCTTCTCCCCTCCAGAAATGGACCCTTCCACCCTGCCCGCTTGGCCCGAGTCCTGCTTGCGTTCTCTCCACCTGGAGCCCCTCGGGGCTGGAGGACATGGAGATCACCCACTTGGCAGGTGGGCAACTGAAGCCCACACAGGAACAGTGATGGCTCTAGCCCCCACATCGGGAACACTGCCAGGCACGAGGGAGGCTTTGCATATCCTTACGGAATGAACAAGGTAACTGACTAGCTGGGACTCAGTGGACACACTGCGGGGAAGGGAGACCCAGGACAAGGGTGCCCTTCCTCTTGGTGCAGCCAGCCCTGGCCAGCCTTGACCCTGGGCCCTGGCCGCTCAGAGGACTCTGGTCGTCAGAACAGGACTATGCTACCCAGTGGTCCTGTGAATCACCAAACAGGCCTTCCTTACTGCCTGGAGGCTGTCATCCAAAAGAGACTGACAGTCCCTGGAGTCCTGTTCCATGTAGAGTGACAACGGCACCGAGAAGGCCACGCCCTTCCAAAACAGCCGGCATGAAGGGCAGCTCTAGCAGAAGGCACCCCCTCTGTCATGTAGGGTGCACACAGCCCCAGGGCATCTATCACTGCAACACCCAGTCTGGGGGTAGGGGGAGGCCAAGGGTTCTAGGCGGCCCAAGTCAAAGCTGAAGTAGCCTTTCAGCCTCCCGGACAGCGGGGACAAGGTGGGTGCTGACTGGGCTGGGCCTCTCTCAGGCCACACAAGCGGCCCATTCCAGCGAGGGGGAGCAGGAATGTATGAGGGGGAGTAGGAGGAAGTGAGCTGCCCAGCCCCCACTGGGAGCCTCCCAAGGCAGGGTAGGGACCGCCCACATGTAACCCCCTAGCCAGCCCTGACCAACAGCTGGAGGTGAAGGATGGGACGCCTGGTGGGGCGTGGGGTGGCCAGAGGACACGGGTCAGCAGGAAAAGGGTGCACAAGGGCCTCTGAGCAGCAGCTGGGCAGGAAGCTCCAGCTGCGGGGGTGGGGGGAGGAGGATGGGCAGGCAGGGGTGCCGGGGCTCCTTCTCTCCTACTGGGCTGGCTGAGATCCCCTCTCTGGGGTATGGGCAGACCCCAGTGGCCTCAGGAGAGGAAATAACCACTGTGGACCCCTTGGCTGGCCCAGGCCGTCCTGCTCACTCTCCATGGAACTAGTCACCCAGTTTTTGTCCCCCACCCTGTTCCTCTACAACAGGGAGAATATTTAAGCTCAGAAAACACGACTGGCCCTGGCATCAATCAGCAATTTACTTTTCTAAATGACAACATGGGGCATCCTCTCCTGTTTCCCTTCCTGTCCAAGCCAGCAGGCTCAGAGACCCTATTTACCCAGGAATCCTGGCTCATGGGTCTGAGAGTCACTGCCCCAACGCCCATTCAACCTTGCAATCTCTGCCTGAAAGGGCAGGACATGGGTGGCCACAGAGCCAGACAGCAGGCAGGGCTGGAGCCCCCCTGCAGAGACATGTCAGTACTCTTCCTGCCCTCCCCACCCCAGCAAGAGCCTCAAGCTCAGAGGGGGCTGCTTCCTGGGCCATGTCCCTCTCCTCCCCAACCCAGGGAACAGGATACAGTTCAAAGAGGCCTGCTGGAGGCCACCCAGGTTCTATCCTGGTCCTACCACTCAGTGGTCTGACCAATCTAAGCCTCGACTTCCTCATCTGCAAGACGGGCCTGGATGAAGGATGAGGCAAAATCATGCTCATGAAACGCTGGCTGGGGTTGTGGCACAGACTGGTGCTCAGTGAAAATGGCCCCTTCCCTCCTGCCTCCATGGTCCTGCTCCTCCCTATGCCCAGGCTCCAGCACGCTGAGGTATGGGGCAGACTGGCTGCTTCCTTGCCACCAGCAGAAAGAAAGAAGGCAGGGGGCGGAGGAGCCAGGAGTCTTCTCAGGACACAGCCAAGTCCCACCTTCCCCTGATGAGTAGTGGCCAGAGGTTCCAGCAGCTGCCCCCTCCTTCCCACACTGGTCAGTGTCCTTCCAATCCTCTGGCCTGGGCTGCCAGCCTTACCCAGCAGAGGGGAGACGAGCCAGAGGGCAAAGGCATCCAGGGCGATGTCTGGGAGGCGCAGGACCTCACGGACTGCGCGGTGCAGCTCGTGGGCACTGAGTGAGGGCAGGTTCTCCACCGCCAGGGGCACCACTGTGTCGTCCGCCAGGTACACCAGCACATCAGCTGCTGTGATGGAAGTCAGGCAGGGTCAGCTGAGGCCCTCTGTCCAGGTATAGAGAGCCCAACTGGCGCCCTCCACCACCCAATGAGGCTGGAGCCTTTATCCTGTGGCCCTTGGGGGTGACCAAGGCTATATACTCCTGAGGCAGAACCCCAGAATCCTCAAGAGACTCTGCTAAAAAGTGGTATATATTAGGACTTTGAGACACTCAAACCACCCAGAAACCCAGCAACTCTGGCCCACAGACTAGCTCCACCCCAATCCCCAAGGTTCAAAGTAGGGCTGGCCACTGCAGTGCCCACCCCCCCCCCCAAATCCCATAGCAGCTCAAGTACTGCTTCTGCCCTGAATAAGAACATTCCACAGGCGGAGAACTAAGGCAAAGATGGGCTGAACCTGAGGTTACAGCCGTTAGTCTGTCAGGATGGGAGCGGGGAGAGCTGGTGACCCATTGTTACCCTAGGCAAGTCTCTGCGTCTCTCTGGCCCAGGCTAAGATGGGACCAGAGGATTTCTTAGGTTACCCTAGGTTAAAGCAAATTCCAGGTCTTAGCTTCCTTAGGACTCTCCAAACCTCCGGAGTCAATGCTGGGGCCTTTCAGACAGCCTTAAGGAAGCTAGGGAAGCACACTCCATACAGCTGAGTGTTCCCTGTGACAACCTGTGGGACTCCCACTTGGAGCCTAGAGCCAAAGGGAAAGTCTTGGAAGAGCAGCCAGATTCAAATCCCCATCCCTGGAACTGCCGGCACAGTGAAGGAACACTGAGCTTGGAGGCTGACATAATTGGGTTCCAATCCCTGCCTATTCTCGGGCTTGCTGGCTAACTCCAGCAAGTCAGCTTGAGTGTCAGTTGCCTCATCTGTCAAAGCAGAGCTAATACCCCTCCCACAAAGAGTTGCTGTAAATCAAATGAGGTGAAGCCTCACAGGTGAAGCCTGTGAAAGGGAAGGGCACAGTTTATTATTATTAATACAAGTGAAGTTGCTTCTTAAACCCCTAGTCTGTTCTGCTCTAACAGCTACTGTGAGAGACCAGAACATCATGTTGGGGAGGCTGAGGTTCATATCTACCTATCAGGCAGGGAAAACTGAGGCACTGAAGGCTCACATATGTGATCACCTGGAAAGCTTCAATAGCTTGTGACTTAACCTCTCAAGTATCCAATTTCCTCCCTATAAAACAAAGCATGATCCCTGCTTTCAAAAGACTGTTTGTGAGAAACAAATGAAACAAAGAAAGCAAGTGTGTCACTTTTCATTCCTGTGATCTCATTTGAATTTCACAGCTATGTGAGACATGCCCATTTTACAAATGAGGAGAGTGAGGTTCAAGAAGAGGACTCCACTTGGCCACTAAGCTAGTGACAGAGTCCAGGTGCTCTGACTCTGACTTCTGTGAGTTTTCCATATCTTAATGTACTTTATTTCCTAAATGATATGTAACATTATCTTTAGTGAAAAACAAAAAAGCCAGAGCCACTTCCCCAAGGCTGGAGTCCCAGGAGGGTATAGAGGGGAGGAGAAGTGGACAGGGACCCACCTCGGGCTCCCACGGAGGACACGCTGCTTCGGTGGGACCGCTCAGCGGGGCCAGGATGCCCGGCACTGCTTTCTGTCCCATCCATCTGCAAAGGGAAAGAGAAACAGCGCTTACTGGGGGTCCAGGGATGGGGAGGTGGGGGGGTCTCAAGTTCTCAATGAGTAAGGGAAGGGGTCCGGGCTGGTCTGCAAGGCTGGCTGGTGGGACCGAATATGCAGACTTGGGTGGGGGTGTCCCTTGGCCCACTCGAGGTCAGGGCTGGTGGGAGGAGTCAGGGCTGTGATTGTCAATAGCGAAGGTCGAACCTCCGCTCGCGCTCGCCGGGATGCCCAGGCAGAGCAAGACGCACCCCATTCCGAGGGCGGGGGCCGGGGCAGGGCGTCGCCGCGCTCTCACCTCGTAGAGGGGCAGCCGCCTCAGGCCAGGCTCCTGTCCTGATTCCTGCTCCTAGCTCGGGCTCCAGCCCCGCCGCTGAGCGGGCCACCGCCGGGACGCCCGCTGCCGCTAGAAACCCAGCCGCCTGGGCTGCTACGCGGAAGCCGCAGCCGGAGGAAGCGCGGCACACTCCGGCCCCGCCCCCGGTCCGCGGGAGCCAATCGGAGCCCGGGGCCTCTGCGCACGCGCCCTGCCGGCGCCCGCGCGCTCACACCCCCCACGGGCCCGCGCATGCCCAGACGCCCCGGGACGAGCTCCTCGCCTTTCTGGTCACATCACAGGGAGGGCCGCGTTACGAACCAATCTTGCCACCAACCTGAGTGACCCAGGGCAAGTTACCCCTCACACAGGTCCCGATCACTGGCCTGTAACAGGGTGTGGCGAAGATTCAAGAAAACCAGGGCTGGGGCGCGAGCTCTGGCACTCACTTGCCGTGTAACTTTGGACCAGGCCTGTGAAACAGAGATACTTCCTGGGACGTGTCAGAGCCGCGCTGCTGGGCTCTGGGTAAAGGTGACGCAGGCAGCATCCTGTACTGCAGCGCTCCCCAGGCCGTGAATGGTGATGGCCGCTGGAATGTGGTCAGGAGACTGTCCTGCCCTTGACTTGTCCTGGACAAGTCCCTTCCTCTCTGGGCCTCAGTTTCCTCATCTGTAAAATGAGGAGTTTGGACTTGATGACTTCCAAGGACCCTTCTCACTCCCAAATTATAGGTGTATGCCAGAAACCCAGGCCAGGCACACCTGTTTTTCCAGGGAGCAGTCGCATGACCCCTCGCTATCTTACACACACAGCCTCGGAGATGAGGTATTCCTAGGCTGGGAAGAGATGTTGGGGCCCTGAAGAGGCTGGTGTGAAACTATTTATCCCCAGAGCCATATCCCCAACATGTCCTGGCAATGCCAGCATGTGTGTACCTGACATGTGGAACTCAGGGAGGAAAACAGGTCCATGGGATGCCGTCCCGAGCCAGAGGAACCACAAACTGTTCCAAGTGACAATAGTGGACTTGGTGATCTGGAACAGGGGGCAGTGGGTTCACCTTACCCTGATTCCCTGTGATTGGAAAGCAGCTCTGGCTCCTGGCCCAGTCAGATCTTCTTCAGTATTGGAACCAGCTCTTTCAGGACCCACATGGCCCAAAACAGAGCCCATTACAACTACTTTACTGATGTGACCCAAGGACTGGAGAGGCACAGATATGGGCTGCAGAGAAGAGTGTGCAGCAGGAGCAGGCATCTCCCTCCGGTTCTCAGCTCTGGGACCCTCAGACCAGGACTCAGTGGCTCCGTTGTCTCCCAGAACCAGCTGTGTTGCCAAAAACTCAGCACTTGTCCATGAGGCCAAATCAGAAGAATGAAGACAAGTGGTTTGATTGGGAGGAAAGAGAAGTTTATTACTTTGCCAGCAAAGCAGGAACAATGGTAGACCTTCTCGTCACAAAATCCAAATTTTCCTGAACATAAGCAGAAATACAGAGCTTTTAAAAGGAGGGCCCCATACCTACACTCATGAGGCCAAAATAAATAAATAAATAAAATAAAAAAATAAAAGGAGGGCCCCTAAGTTCTAGGCTATTGTGGTTAACTATACTAATCGTCCCATCTCTGCCAAAGACAAAGCCTGTGACTTCCCCCAGCCACCCCTTGGGGGGGGCAGGTGCTGCCTGGGATGGCCAAGATCTCTCTCTTTTTTTTTTTTTTTTGAGTCAGGGTCTCACTCTGTTGCCCAGGCTAGAGTGCCATGGCATCAGCCTCGTTCACAGCAACCTCAAACTCCTGGGCTCAAGGGATCCTCCTGCCTCAGGCTCCCGAGTAGCTGGGACTACAGGCATTTGCCACCATGCCCGGCTAATTTTTTCTATATATTTTTAGTTGGCCAATTAATTTCTTCAAGATATCTCTTTTAACAAAGGATTTCACCTGCCTCAGTGATGCAGGGCAGGCCAGAGGTCCCAAAAAGAGTAGGGGAAGTTTTAAAGAGACAGAAAAATTTTCTTTTTTTTCTTCAGGCCCTTCCATCTGTTCCTTCTATTCACCCAGTCAGAGCGAAGTGGGGACATAGTTGGGTGTTGTTGGGTGCTTGCTGGGTGTAGGACCTGTGCCAGGTCAGGGGGTGGAGACCGCAGTGAGATACAGCCCCTGGCCTCGGGAAGTGTATGTTGGGGTTTCACTGGGGATTGGAGGAAAAGGCCAGAGAGAAAGGAGCCCAGGAGAACAGCATATTTAAAACTACAGAAGATGACAATATTGCCTTAAGAGCTACAAAATGCTACAAGCAGGAAGAGGAGGGTCCTCACTTCCTGCTCACCTGCTGTGTGCTAGACACTGAGCCAGGCCCTTTCCCGGATGTTCCTTCATGTGGTCCTCATGTGTCCTGTGAATGAAAATAAGAGCATTAGCAGCTACTATTTCTATGCCAGCCACTGTTCTAAGTGCTTTAATCCTTATAACACAGTAAGAGATGAGTAGTATAGCTCTGTTTTATGAATGAGAAAACAGGATTGGAAAGATTAAATAAAAAAGGTGACATCTGCCGGTGTGTGTGGTGGCAGTGGAGAGGCTGGAACTGGGGTCTAGCTGAGGGGGCAGCCTTGGAGGAGAGCTGGAAGGCTGAGTAGTGTGCCGGCAGCAGGATGGGGAAAGAAAGGCATTCCAGGTAGCCGCGGCTGCATGGTTAGAACCAGGAAAGACCCTGCTGTGTAGGAGCACAGCAGGTGGGGTGGCACCAAGGCCGGGGCCCTGAACCCCAGGGTGAGGGGTATGGGGCAGGTTTTTCAGGCAGTGAGGACGCCTTAGAAGTTGTGAGCTAGAGAGTGATGAAGTGAGAGCCCTGTAGTGCCGTGCGTAGGGGGGCTTCTCTTCTGCAGTGCTCTACGGAAGTGGGAATGAGGGTTTCGCTTGAACAAGGTGGGCTGTGAGATTGGAGGAGAGAATGGGGCCCATTCTAGAGTGAGGGAGGAAAGACCCTGCAGCCTTTAGAGCCAAGGAGGCTTAGACATTGGCAGTCAGCTGGGCCGGTCCCCTACTCTGGCAAACAATAAAGGACCCCAAGGCTCACAGAAGGGGTTGCCCAACACCACTCAGGGAAAGAACAAGAGGCAGGACTAGGACTGCAGCCAACCCACCATGAGGCCAGTCCTTGGGATGGTCTTTAGGGTGGCCCAAAGAGCCCCAGGCAGTTCCAGGGCCAGGAGGTCAGAATAAGGCCCTGCCTTCTAGAACCTACCACCCACACGAGGTAGTAGTCACAGAGAGAGAGGAGGGTGAGCAGGACTGGGCCTTGAGCATCTGATAGGAAACTAAGAGCTTCAACGAGATCTGGAGGGGAGGGCGGGGTACTATTGGACTTTTTATGTTCTTTGGGGCCCTTTGGTGATGCTGGGAGAGGACCAGAACCCCAGGGCTGGCCACTGATGCCACTCCCTGACTTTTCCATTAATTCATTCACTCAATATTTGTTATTTTTTAGAGACAGAATATTCACTGAGTGCCCACCCTGTGCCACCCACTGTTCTAAGCCTTTGAGATACATTAATGAGCAAAACAGCCAGAGATCCCTGCCTGAAAGACGGGATACATCATGGGTCAGAGGCAATAAATGTGACGAGAGGAAGAAGAGAAAGAGCCGGGTGCTGACTGCTGGGGGGCAGGGCAGACAGCAAGGTTGTTGGGGGGCTCACCGAGGAGCAGGTGAGGGGGTTTGAGGTGGGGAGGCTGAGAGTGTCCAGGAAGAGGGAGCAGCCAGTGCTAGGCCTGGAGTCAGGGGTGGCTGGATGTGAGGTCAGAGGAAAATGGGCGGTGCCTGCGGCTTCCTGAGCCTGGGAAGGATTTTGGTTTTGGCTTTGAGCGGGACAGGCCCTTGTAGAGAGACACAGGGCTCTTTATCTCTCCAAGCCCCCATCTTTCCCCTGGGAAAGAAGAGGCCTAGGCAGGCTGTCTTTGACTCACACACGGGAGTTGTAAACAACTCTGGGAGAACAGCTTCCGGCTGGTGAGTCACTCCTGGGAGCGGCTCCTCCTGGGCTGTGCCCCCCTGCCCTGTCTCGGCAGCTACCCTATGCCACAGGCAACTGTGGGCTGGGCCTGCCCCCTGGTGGCCACTCGCCATCCGCACTGGCCTGCGGGCAGGTGGGGGGAGGGGGGTAAGGCGGCCTGGCAGCTGCTAACAGAGAGGTGGGGGGCTAGGCTAGGATGGGCCTGCAGGGCCTCCCCATCATTGAGGGCTGAAGGCAGTCCCAGAGGGGCCTGACCAAGGGCTGGGACCAGGTTGCCACCCCCAGCATCATCATTGCCAGGGTTTGGGGATCAGGTCTCCGTGGTTCCATCTGTCATCCTGGCCTGTGAGATTCCACATTCTGCACACCCCTTCCAGTCTCAGGGTCACCAGAATTGGCTGGCTCTCCCCCATAGTTGCCCCAGGTCTGGGCACTAGGCCACTTGTCACCCTCCAGCCAGGGTTAAACATTAGCGGGAGGTTATCAGCGGAGGGAGGAGGGGGAGGGGGGAATTCAACCTTCACTGTCTCTCTGCTGCAGCCGCCAGTTCCCACGGAGCCCACACGATGCCTGATGCCTGTGGAGGAGTTCGTGGCTGGTTGGATCTCTGGTGAGACATTTTCCTTCCTTCTGTCGCTTCCTGCCCAGGTAGGTCACTTCCTGGGGAAGGTGGGTGACAGGAGGTGCTGAGGCCAAAGTGTGAGTTCCCCCAGAGCACCCCAGAGTCGGCTGTCCCCAGAGCCTCCTGAGAGTGGCAGGCAGGGAGAGGAGAGGAAGGCGCAGGGGGAGGTGCTGCTGGTGCGTCCAAGGCCATGTTGCCAGACGCCTCCCCAGGGAGCACCCTGTGCCTCAAGCCCTCCTCTCCAGGCCCACCCTGTGGGGGTCAGAAAGGAAGTTCACCTTTGACCTCACCTGCTATCCTGAATTCCCTTTGGCCTCTGCCCCAAGGGTTGCACTCCTGGCTTCTGAGGAGGGCTCCTGTGCTTGTGGACCCAGCCCAGCTTCGGGGTGACATTCCTGTTGGGAGGGAGGGACATTATGAACCTGCCTCCTTGGGATGAGACCTTCTCCAAGCTCCAGAACCAGCCCTGCTGTGGAGGACAAGACTATGGCTGGGGAGTGGGGCGTAGGGAGGCCCTGTCCAAGGGCCAGCAGGATTCCTGAAAGGGCCTCCAGCTCTGGATCAAGGCGACAACCTTATGAGTTGGAAGGAAGGGTGAAGCTGGCAGGAGGTGGGAGCATTGGAGACTTGTCCAGAGTCCCACTGTTTATAAGCAGCAGGACACTTGGGCGTTCACTCTCAGCCAAGGACACATGTGTCTTTGGTTGGCTCTTCGCTTCCAAGTGTGCGTTCTCAGGTGGGTCAGGGCCTCAATCCCTGACCCAATGCCTTCCAGCCCCATGTGGACGGGGTAGGGGACAGCTGGAGTTTCTCTGGTGTCTGGCAGGAAGATGGCTGCATGTGTCTGAGAAGGTCCTGCCCCCTTCCTCCTGCCTAAATCCCTCTTTCCTCTCAGCACAGACTTGTGCCCTGGGCCTGGCGTGAGGCTCGCACTCATACCATCTTCTTGTCACCACAGGAGCTCTGGGCTTGGTCCTGGGACACCCCTTTGACACTGTGAAGGTGAGTTTAGGAGAGGCACCTGAAGAATGAAAGATCTCATCCAAACCAAATGTCAGGGTGCCCTGAGATCAGGCCTGGCTAGTGGAGGCTCTTCCTGCCTCTGGCATGCTGCTCCTGGGCCAGAGGGAAGAGTGAGCTGCCCACCGGCCCTGCCACCCCACCTGCTCTGTCCTCCCCATCCAGGTGCGGCTGCAGACCCAGACCACGTACCGGGGCATCGTTGATTGCATGGTGAAGATTTACCGCCATGAGTCGGTGAGTGGCCTGCTTCTTTCGGGTAGGAGGCATCTGGGGTGTTTGGTACCAACTTCCATCTCCTCCCCAGCAGGGCTCTGCTTCTGGAGGAGAGATGACCCAAGTCTGGGACCTTTGGGGGACTTGGTGGTAGCTTAGCACCCCAAGAGTGGAGCCAGGCCTTCCCCAGCCTCAGCCTATCCCCACCTTGCTATGGCAGGGCTTGGGAGTGGCTTCCAGCCAGAGACGGCCTTGCCATGGCAGGAAAGGGCAAAAGGGAGGCCTCACAGCACCCGCTCTAGTGTCGCCGTGTCTCCCTGCAGCTGCTGGGCTTCTTCAAGGGCATGAGCTTTCCCATCGCGAGCATAGCCCTGGTCAACTCCGTGCTGTTCGGGGTCTACAGCAATTCCCTGCTGGCACTCACCGCAACTTCCCACCAGGAGCGGCGCACCCAGCCGCCCAGCTACACACATGTCTTCATAGCAGGCTGCACTGGGGGGTTCCTGCAGGTGAGGGGGCAGCACATGGGTACACACAGGTGACACAATGACAGTCAGCTCGATCTGTCCTCTCCCATCCCTGTCTGATGACCCACAGCTGTGGATGGGCAGGCCTTCACTAGGGGAACGTGAGGCATGCCTCTGGTGACCTGGCCTGACTGTGCTGTGGCCTTCCAGGCTGCAGGTGTGGGGGCGGGGGAGCAGTGCCAGGAAGATGCCATGGAAAAGCAGCTGTGCCCCACTCTTAGGCTCTCAGGGGTTACCTACCTCCAGGAGCATCTGCCAGCCTCGGAGCTGTGAGAAGCCCACTCCCCAGCAGACCTTCGACCCTGGAGAGCTGCTGGGCCCAGCAGAGCTGTGAGCCCAGGCCCTCTGGCCTGGTCCTGATGTGGTCCTGGCATGTCCCCTGCCCTACCCAGCGCAGCCCTTTGCCGGCAGCTCAGGGGTGGCAGCTACCTGGGAGACAGCTCTCGTGGGAGAGGCCCGAGGTATTCATCATTAAGTCACTCCAGTCATCTGGTTTTGGTCTTTGTTCTGAGCACCGTAGAGCCGGGGTTGTTGGGGTAGGGTAGAGGAAAAAGGGACCTATAGGCACCAATGGGAACCAAGTTGAGTGGGGCCTCTGAGCTCAAAGAGGCAGAGGGAGGAGCATACGCCTCCCTCTCGCACCTCAGCCAGGTGACTGGGTCACCCTCTATTGGTCTGGGTCACCCTCTATATGCCCTGACGCCCATGACACACTTCATGTGGTAGAGAGCAAGGACAAAGGGCAAAGTCAAGTTGCTCATTCAAATGAATTAATGATTAATGAGACCCCCAAAGGTCCTGGCTTTCCTTCTGCCCATTTTTGTACAAGGTGCATGCCTACAGTTTTTCTAAGCCCTGAGACCTGCAACCTCCACCCCAAAACAAGGAAGAGAACTGAGACCCTGGGCTGCGAGGCTGGTCCAGGCACAGCCAGGCCTCTGGGAAGGTGCTGCCCCCTGCCCTCCCCCTGCCTCTGCTTAATATAAGCAGATGGTTCCCAGCCCAAAGCCCCACCCAGGGCATTCACGTTTCCTTTCTAACAGGCCTACTTCCTGGCCCCTTTTGACCTCATCAAAGTCCGGTTACAAAACCAGACAGAGCCGAGGGGCCAGCTGGGGGGCCCCCCACCCCGGTACCGGGGACCCATGCACTGTGCAGCCTCCATCTTCCAGAAGGAGGGGCCCCGGGGGTTGTTCCGAGGAGCCTGGGCCCTGACGCTGAGAGACACCCCTACATTGGGAATCTACTTTGTCACCTATGAAGTGCTCTGTCGCCAGTATACACCAGAGGGCCAGAATCCTAGTAAGTAGAGCAGCACGAGAGGGTGGGGGACGGAGAGGTGCAGGTAGCAGGTGGCTGGACTTGGGGAGGGGAACTGGGGACTGGGGAGATGCTCTGTTCCAGGTCTGACCCTACCTGGGCTCCCTCTGCCCCAGGCTCAGCCACAGTGCTAGTGGCAGGGGGCTTTGCTGGCATCGCGTCCTGGGTCACAGCCACACCCTTAGACGTGATCAAGTCCCGGATGCAGATGGACGGGCTGAAGCGGAGGGCGTACCAGGGCGTGCTGGACTGCATGGTGAGCAGCGTCCGGCAGGAAGGCCCGGGGGTCTTCTTCCGGGGGGTCACCATCAACAGTGCCCGTGCCTTTCCTGTCAACGCTGTCACCTTCCTCAGCTACGAATATCTCCTACGCTGGTAGGGATGAGCCTGGCTGGGCGATGCCAGTAGCTCCCCAGCAGGCCCAGCGCCCACCCACCAGTTGGAGATGGAGCCGAGATCGGAGGTCAATTTGGAAGCACAGTTTGTAATTCAAAGGCACGAGTTTCAGCTCTTCTGCATCAAGGCACCTCCCAGCCGCCCAGAGTGGGCTGTGCAGACGCCAGCGCCAGCGGGCTCAGCCTCCCTCCGTGAAGTCGTGGAGCAGAGAGCCGGGCACAGGCGGCCTGGCCAGCGTGCTGAGTGCCACAGCCCCGCGCCTCCTGAAGAGCTCTGGACGCTCTGCCGCTGGCACCAGCCCAGCCCTGCTGCCTCCCACCGCCCCTGTCACACCGCGCCCTTCCATGACTCAGAATCCTTCAGTGGCTCCCTCCACCACCTGGGCCCTCCTGCCCACAAGGCTTTGCTGTTCTTTAGTGGCTTCCCGGCCCCTGAACAAGCGGTGTTCTGTCATCACCCTGGCCTGGAAGGGTGATTCCTTCCTGACCGGCAGTGCGCAGTGTCTGGCAGGGTGACGTCGTGATCCCCTGCCTGACCCCATTCTCCTCCAAGACCCAGGCTGAGCACTGTCCCCTGGAGTCCTTCCTTGGCTCCTCCCCCAAGCCCAGGCTGGCTTTGGGGTTCAGACATCCCGCTCACGTTCCTGGATCATGGTGCTGCCTGCGCTGCTTCAGAGCTGCCGGTTCGCTTCTTGACTTCCCCACTGGATGGCGATGGCGGTGAGCTGCTCCAGGCGGGGGTTGTACTTCTGCGTGTTTCCCAGCACGTGTCCAATAAATGCTCGTTAAGTGAAGTGCCTGTTGCACTCCCGGCCCGTCTCGCCCCACTCCGGTTGCACACACCTGCAACTTCGGGCCCACCGCACACACCTGTCTACCGAACTGCCCGGCCCCGATTGCCTGCCTGACCTGTCGAGCTCATGTGCCATGGAGTGGTGGCAGAAGGTGGGGAGTTTGCCTTGCCCACTCCTAGCCTAGGGCACTTGTTTACCCATCTCAATTGCTAAGTGGGAACGAAAAGCCAGCTGAGAGGGCTATTTTAATGACAATAAAGCTGAGGTTAGTTTGTACCCATTAATGTCCCGATCTGGTCTGAGGTCAACCTGAGTCTACCTCATGGTGACCTGGATTCCTGAAGTTACTGCCATTTGCCAGGGACTCTCTACAGAAACCATCGTAGTATTATCGTCACAGTTTACAGAGGAAACATGTATCACCATTAGGGGTGTCAGATATTTATAATTGTTACCTTAAACCCCAGCTTGCTTTCTTTTCTTCCTTCATCCGTTTTCACTAAGTGGCTGCACTTGACTAAACTCTAGGTAGGTGGAAGGAGGGGCCATGAGATGCCTCCAGACTCCAAAGAGAAGAACCAAAGTGACCGGCTTTGGGAGAGGGAGCTCCTGGGGTAGCCAAACAGCAGTAAGGGTAATGGAATTTTCTGGATTTAAGTATATAAAGCTACATTTCATAGCGTTTTGCTAGAGGCTAATCCTGAGTGACGATGCTCCCAAATAATTTGCTCAACTGTTTTATTGTTTTAATCCTGGTTCCTGATCTTTAAAGATGTCATTAAACAAAATGTATGAGAGGCCGTTGTTTGGACTGAGCTTCTACACTGGGTCCAGAGACAATGGAGTCACTCGTGCTAGGTGTCTTCCATAATCAAATTGAATTTTGAAACAAGCCAGTTTTCAAAAAAAATAGGAGATTCACAGCAAACAGTCAGAAGTGGCCCCGTGTACCTAAGCCAGTGTAGTAAGGAAGTTCTGTCTGTGTTAACTCTGTATGTGAAATATTAGTAACTCTGAAATGACTGATCTGCTTTTTGTTCCCTGTTTCTGCTTTCTTCATCTTTTTTTCTGCCTATAAAGCCAAATCCCTCTGCTCAATTTATTGAAACACCTATCTTTTTTAAAGAATGAAATGTTGCCTGATTCAACAATCATTAATAAAAGCCAATTAAATCGCTAAACCAAAACAAAAAAAATCTAGATGTTTTTAAATCAGCAGGGTGTCATAAGATGAATGTGAAACTGCTTAAAAATTTAACAGATCTGGCCTGGCACAATGGCTCACATCTGTAATCCTAGCACTCTGGGAGGCCGAGGCGGGAGGATCACTTGAGCTCAGGAGTTGAAGACCAGCCTGAGCAAGAGCGAGATTCCATCTCTACTATACATAGTGAGACCCCATCTCTATTATAAATACAAAGAAATTAGCCAAACAACTAAAAATAGAAAAAATTAGCTGATCTTGGTGGCGAGTGCCTATAGTCCCAGCTACTCGGGAAGCTGAGGCAGGAGGATTGCTTGAGCCCAGGAATTTAAGGTTGCTGTGAGCTAGGCTGATGCCCTGGCAGTGTAGCCCAGGCAAGAGAGTGAGACTCTGTCTCAAAAAAAAAAATTTAACAGACGTTATTCAAGGTTGCCATTACTTTTGAGAGCTTAGAAGACATAGAAGAAACCCCTAATAAGTAGGAAAGAAACAGTGAACTTGCTTTGAGGTTACAGAGGGTGATGTCTGACGGTCACCTGCAAAGAGTTTACAACTTGGGCAAACTATTATTCGATGTCTCATTGGATTTGTGTTGACAAATGTCATCCTTACAGTAATGACCACAGCTGAAGAAATTCCAGGAGACTGACGTGTGTGTAGTGACACGACACCTACAGGTGCCGGGAAAGGGGGAATTGACACAGCTTGAGGATGATTCTGGCTTAAATAACTTTCACCAGACTCACCAGCAGCTGAGCTAAGAGGAGTCACTCTGTAAATGGGACTTAGGTGGCGTCTCCAGCCTGCCCAGGCTCCTGAGCTCCCAGTTGTGGATCCCTGGGTGTCCCCAAGGTACCTAAGTGTCCCTAGCTCACCCCTGCTGCAGTGCTCGGCACAGGAACAGCCTCTGCTTCCAGGGCCAGGTGCCTCAGAGCAGCGCTCCCTCTCCCACTGCCACGTCAAAGGAGCCCCTAACTCCTGTTAACCTGCTTTTAAAGGTTTTCTGGGGCCCACTCCCCCACTTTTCAATCCTAATAGCACAGCTCTGGTCTTCTCCTGAATCTGGACAAGTAATTTAATTTTTTGAAATGCATTTCTGATCAAGTCGCCCTGCTCCCCAGTGGCTCCCCGTCACTCTGCCCAATCAGGGCCTGCAGGGCTCCCTCCCACCGTGGGACGTTTGTGCGTGGTCTCGCTGCCTTCAGCTGTCGGTTCAGTAGCGCATCCTTTGGGAGGCCTTCCTCAGCATCTCTGCCTAGGCCAGGTTCCTTTGCTTTATGCCAGTTGTTCAGAATCTCCTGGAAGGTTTGTTAAAATGCAGTTGGTGGGATAATCCTAGCACTCTGGGAGGCTGAGGCGGGCGGATTGCTTGAGGTCAGGAGTTCGAAACCAACCTGAGCAAGAGCGAGACCCCGTCTCTACTATAAATAGAAATTAATTGGCCAACTAATAGATATAGAAAAAATTAGCTGGGCATGGTGGCACATGCCTGTAGTCCCAGCTACTTGGGAGGTTGAGGCAGGAGGATCGCTTGAGCCCAGGAGTATGAGGTTGCTGTGAGCTAGGCTGACACCACAGCACTCACTCTAGCCTGGGCAACAAAGCGAGACTCTGTCTCAAAAAAAAAAAAAAAAAAAAAAATGCAGTTGCTGGGTCCACCCTGGAGTTTCTGATTCAGTAGATTTGTGGAGGGCCTGGGAATTGGCATTTCACTAACTTCACAGATGCTGCTGACTCTGCGGGTGCGGGCCACACATTGAGAACCACTGGCTTGTGCCTTCACGTCATCCCCCTTCCTCGGTCAGCAATGACACACTCTTGTTTTCGTGACGCTTTGGTTATGTCTGTCTCTCCTCTAAACTATGAGCTCCGTGAAGCAGAGACCCCGCCTGGATTGCTCATCATCAAAACTGGAGCTGGTATGCAGAGATGCTCAATAAATAGTTGAACAAATGAGTGAATGAATACATGAAGGAAAGAAGACTGGTCTTCCTGACTTCCTCTCCGGCAGCCTGGTGCTCTAGATTTTACTTAGAGCCCTCCTACTAGAAAGCAACCAGATTCAAGATCAATTATAATAAAACCATTGCTGGCTTTGCAAGAAGTAAGAGAACTTCCTAAGGACCCCCCAAAACAAGGAATAGCAAGTATAAACCACAGTGTTAGAACTGGGGCTGCCCCTGGGGCAAACGCTGACTCCACAAGCTTGGTGATTAAAAAACCACAGGGAACAGATTAGAACCGGAGTCCACATACAGTAGGGGAGTTGAGACCAAGATTCATAAATTAAGTAGATTTATATAGATCCAGGAGAAAGCTACCCCTTCAGTGAAAAGGTAGCCTAGAAATCTTCTGCCCACCAGTGCAGGGAATCTACAAGAAACCTGCCTCTCTCCTTTGTGGTGGAAAACATTTAAGAAAAAGATCTGGCTCCCTTATGTGTGAACCAGGAACCATGTGCCTGCTCCCTAATCCACCCCTCAGGTCTGGGACTCCTGCCTCTAAGAAATGAATTTCTCATGCTGCTAGCGCCTCCTTGTGTCCTGTGGGAATAACTACACAATTTTCTTAGAGCACCCTACAGTGGGATCTTCAAGTTTTCCAGAGATTAAGTCCAACTTAAAAAAAAATTCCCTCACACAATTCAATAACAAAAACCAAATAACTCAATTAAAAAATGGACAGAGTGCAAAGCATGGTGGCTCAAGCCTGTAAGCCTAGCACTCTGGAAGGCAGAGGAGGGAGGATTGCTTGAGGGCAGGAGTTTGAGACCAGCCTAAGCAAGAGCAAGACCCCGTCTCACTAAAAATAGAAAAATTAACCAGGTATAATGGCATGTGCCTGTAGTCCCAGCTACTTGGGAGGCAGTGGTGGGAGGATCGCTTGAGCCCAGGAGTTTGGGATTACAGTGAGCCATGATCTCCCCACGGCACTCTAGCTGGAGCAACAGAGTGAGACCCTGTATCAAAAAAAAAAAAAAAATCTAACATATACCAATCATATCTAAGACAGGTGGGTAGATAGGTAGAGTTTGAAGTAATGCCTGGCAAGTAGTAAGCCCTTTCTAAATATTAATTCATTCAGAGGGCCTTGAGAGGAGGGATCCTGCGGTCTTATTCACTGACCCGAGTTATAGGTAACTTTCTATTTCCCCTTCTGGTTTGTGAGCACCTTAGGAACAAGGACTGTGTCTTCTTCATCTCTGCTTCCTGGAGTCTTGTGTGCCATCTGAACATGGCGTTTGTTGCAGGCTTGGAAATAACCAGAAATAACACACATGATTTCTTTGTCCCCTTCTGTGCTTGGCATGCGGCAGCAGCTGCAGAACTGGGCAGGCCCGCTTGACCTTGACTGAAAATGAGCTCTGTTGGGGACAGTCGACGCCGTCTTTGCTGCCTCTTTCCTTCATTCCTATGCCCTGTCTGTTGGAAAGTCCTGTCAACTCAGGAGCTTCCTAGAACTTACTCGGTCTTCCTGCTGCCACTTTTGCTCCCTGCCCCCGCCCCTGTTCTTCACATGGGAACTACAATTCTGATTTTTAAAACATAAAACATATCGTGTTCCTCCTTTGTCTAAACCACTCATGCCAAAAACCCCAGCTGCTTTCCTACCTCACTTACAATGGGATCTAAGTGCTGCCTGGCTTAAAGGCCCTGACCACACCCATGACCTTGTCCCCTCTTTGGTCCCTGTCACTTCCCTCACAGGGACTGCTTTCTATTTCTCAACCCCATCAAACTATTTCTAACCCAGGTCTGTACCTACAGTTCCCTTTGCAGAGGAGTCATTCGTGACA